GGGGGTTGAAAACAAGGGCGGAGGGCCCGAGGAAATTGTTAAATTTAGTGTCTCTGAAATACCATTTCAAGGACTTTGGGGGACGTTTTGACAGAATTCTGATGGTCAGAAAAAAAGGTTTTAGAATGTCGAAATTTACCATTTGCTTACAATTTAGTAGTACTAAAAGGATGAATCACTATTACCTAGTTATTGGGAGAGCTGAAGCCACTTGCTACGGCCCTGAGAAGTAATAAACCAAAAACCATTTACCGATTTACGATTTGTTAAACAGTGTTACCATGTAAGGGACTGGTTATAAAGTAACTGCTAGGGTGGGCTGGAGGTAAATCACAAATTTTGCCAATACGTTCGGTGACCCATCTTAGGATGTCGATAAAAATTTCAAAGCCCATCTAATATTACAAAACATTTTTTATGACCCACCCAATCTAAATTGGCAAAATACACTTTATAATAAAACAATTTGCAGGTATGAACATTATAAATATACACAGCACTGTATTGACGTACATAATTCCACCAAACTTGACCAACACGTTGATACTCAGCTGCTTGTATTTGCTGTGATTCGACCACTTCTTGTTGTTGTGTAAACAAAGTGCTGGCTTCAATGGCATCATTGGCATTTGATAATTTGGAAAGTTTAGTTTACTTTTATTATTAATATCTTTATTTATTGAAGTAGACATGCATGGGTCTTGTTTGGTGGCCCAACCGTAGACATACAAAAAAATTGGCGGCCCATCGAAACTGCCCAAAGATGTTCCATGGCCCATCGCAAATCACTCCCGCCCACACTAGCAGTTATTTTATGACCGGTCCCTAAATGCCATAATTTCGTAAATAAGTTTATACTGACAATACAGTTTTATAATATTTTCTCTGTTAAACAACTAATATTTTTAAATATGCTGGAAGTGCGACCAGGATTGAACATAATGATTTTTGAGACGTTCTCTGGTTGAAAATTTTTTATTCACGAGCTTTCGGTTGCCAGAGTGCAGCCTTCAACGGGTAGTTATAAAATACAGTGATTACAGACGACTATGCGGTTTACAATTACAGATCGAAGCATACGCCTACGCTACGCCTACACTGTAAATTTACGGTTAACAAATTACAGTGACAAACAGATAAGTGGAAGTGATAGTTCCGCCTATATATACTCTGATAAAAATTGTTCTATTTCTTTAATAAAAAACGGTATTGTTCCGGTAAATGTTTGGAATTATTGTCTGCATTAGCTGTGAGCGCCGTGTGCCAAGATTCCAATGTAGCTCTGTGGCGGTAGTTTGCCTTGTCGATTATCTTGCCATTGTCAAAATCAATTTTATGAGTCATAAGACCAGGCATGATTCGCAATATTTGAACCCGCTTTTTGTTTCTCGACATTCTTCACATGTTCTTTTTTCCGTGTGATAGGCGGAACTATCACTTCCACTTATCTGTTTGTCACTGTAATTTGTTAACCGTAAATTTACAGTGTAGGCTTAGCGTAGGCGTATGCTTCGATCTGTAATTGTAAACCGTATAGTCGTCTGTAATCACTGTATTTTATAACCACCCGTTGAAAGCTGCAGTCTGGCAACCGAAAGCTCGTGAATAAAAAATTTTCAATCAGAGAACGTCTCAAAAATCATTAACTAATATTTTGTTCTACTATTATTGCCGTAATTTTCCAAATGACCAACCCAATTTTCCGAACATGTTGATTCTAGACACTTTTTGGGGGGTGGGGGGTGGGGGTCAGCTTAAGGATGAATTTTCAAGCTCCACATTGAACGCGCTCTATATCTTTCTGACTAGTTGAATTAGCCTTTATCACGATGACGAATATCCATAATTTTTGTGTGGCATGTAATTCTCGTCAACCAATGCATATAATTAAAATAATGTCAAAAACAATTTTTCAAAATAAATTAACGATTTACAAAGCAAATTTACCATCATTCGTCAAAAAATTATAAACATTCGCTGTTTTGTGGCCTTATCTTGCAGACTTCGGCTGAAATGCCACTCAAAAGTGGCGGCGTGAGAATGGCTAATTGACTGTGGGAACCAGACTTGGGTGGCGTAGCCTAATGCAGGACAGACAATTACACAGCAGATCTGCACGGGAAGCCAAGCAACTTGTTCGCCTTGGCACAACGGTCAAAGGTGTGTTTTGACCAGGTACGCGCACCAGTAACCCATATGCCTATGTCTTTCTCTTCCAATGAAATGTCCAGTGTTTTACTCTTTATCTCGTAGGCAAAATCGGGTTCTTTTTCCCGGTGATTCGCTAAAGATTGCACTTAGCTTGCAACTGAAGCTTGCAGCCTGGAATTAGTTGACCTATTGCCCAGACTACTCAGGTCACACTGAAGCAAGCTAGCATCCGAGATGGAGTCAATGCACTTAAATACCTTAGTATCATCTGCGAAAGATAAAACCTTGGAGTTCTTTACTGCATCTCAGGGCCTATTTTAGTGTTCAGTATTGCACACTTTGTGCAGTATTGAATAAAAAAGTGCAGTACTGAATGCGAGAGTGTGTTGAAATAAATTTCAACTTTGTATTAGATGTGCTGTAGCAGCGAAGTAGATGAAATATAAAGTCGAGAATTCCAAACTGCCTTTGCAACAAAATAAGCAAATGCACAAACAAAGATTGGCCAAATATATGCTAAGTTCCAGTAATAACTCCAATATTCAATACTTTCATGTCCAGAAAAGCCGGTGTACTTCTTTCCTCCACAAGTGGGAAGAGCCTGGGATAACGAGGTTGTCATTTGTGTCGCATCAGCGAACTACCACAATAGGTTATGGCTGATTTGAATTTGAAAGGGTATACCTTTTTTGGGAAACACCGTATGTTGTCATTATGTTCTATGTAAAAACATAACAATTGAAAGATGACGTCACAGAGTGACGTCATTGATGACACCTGCTCTGAATTGTGAAGTATTGAAATTTCCTTAGAATATAGGCTCTGCTGCATCTGGAAGGTCGTTCACGTAGAGGAGTAAAAGAAGGGCCTAATATAAAACACTGTGGCAATCCTGACAATACAGGTTTTTCAGAGAAGATAGCGCCATGTCGTAAACTAGGCGATTTTTCAGGCGGGAAACATTTTCGACTTACCATCACTTAAAATATCCGTGCTTTTATAATACTGCAGCCAAACGGTCAAAAATGTACAATTATAACATTTATGACATATCGGGTCCCGGGCAATTATCTGAACCTATTGCTCTAAATTTCCTTGCCTTTCTTCATAAGAAATTTAGCATTTGTCTGAACAGTGGTACTGCCTGAAAGTCGACTAACGTAGGCTTACTGTATTGATGAATAAGATGATCAATCCGGAGAAAGGAAGTATTTACAATACACAAAAGATATCAATCAGCACTGCAGCAGTAATACTGAAGTGATGCTAAAATGGGGGTCTATGATGGGGGGTTGATCGCTCCGGACACCGTCGTATTTTAGTCTCCTTCACAGTTTATCGCCAATATTTTTTTCGCGAAACCTGTAACCGTAATTTTTCTTATACAGTAAAAGTGTATCGCCCAGGGACTTCGCAACGATCGACGAGAGAACAAAGATGGCAGATATTCCTTGAGAAACATTTAACTGCATGCATGCATGATATATTCAGGAATCTTCTTTGGCTCCTAGCAAGTTCCAGACCCAAATAGCTCACAATAGCTCTCTGATGAATTTCAATACTGCACTTTGCTATAACCAACTATTATTGCAAGCTTGTGGGGGAGCGTAGACATTCTGTCTGTACGAATTGAAATTGTTCGCCGCCCTTTTGCTGAACAAAGGAAAAAAAACTTAATGCTTCAACCGTTTATTGTAAAAAAAATACTTACGCCTTTTATTTTATGCCAAATCTATTCTTGGGTTTCATATGACGTCACAAAAGTGACGGGAGGCTAACCCAATACAAAACACAGTTATCAGAGTGAGTCGATTGTCCGTTTTATGTTTTAGCCTTGTGTTTGGTGGCATGGAATACATGGAATTTCGTATCATTTTCCCACTCCTGTACAGCATAAGCATTAATACATTTGAGATTGACCCCCGGTCAGATTCACTGCATAATGCCGTAGTGAAACCCGAGAATAGGAAACTTTAGCCAGCCATATATTGTGAGTTCTAAACTCTTCTCCCTAAAGGTCCAGTAAGAACTGTCTTTCATTGGTCGAGAGTGTCACCAGCTACAGGAGGAAACTTTAAATTAACTATAAACCATGAAACCCACTTTATAAACCAAGAGTGCCTCTGCTTGTTGCACAACTTTCTGTATACATGCACGTTGTTGGTGAAACGAATGAACAAATATATATAGTTTGAATTATTTCATCATTTGTGAGCCTTTAACGAGACTACTTCCTTAATTTGAAACTAATATTTTACTCGATTTTTAAATTAATGCCATAGATTTAGTTCATTTACACATCAAATGAAACTAAAATACGGTGCTCTTTCCGTGCCTATAAAAATAATGCAGACTTGAATTTCGTATGCATTGCAGTAATTAAATTAACTCTCCTATTTTCCATGGCCATGCCCTGTATGGGCAAATCATCACAGAAGACAAGACTTTGTATTTTGACAAGGCAAAGCTAAACAAAGATTTAAAGACCTTTCGAAATATTTTTATTTGCCATAATTTGGACTAATAATTTGGACAGTCGTCTCAAGGTTTTTTTTTAA